AGCATTTGTGACAGATGGTCATCCACCCTCTGCTCAAAAACCTCCGATGAAGGAGAGTTAACAACATCTGGAGGAGCACAAGTCTCCCACCCCCGACCTAGTCAATATGTTCACAGGGTTAACCCAATTTATTCTTCCAACAATCCTGGGATAGTGTTGGGTTAGCATAGCTGAACCCTGGGACTCACTCTGTAAAGGAGGCAGGGATGGCCATCAACCTTGAGGGTTTTAGAAGTGGATGGGACAAATATATGGAGGCCATAGCTGTCAACTTACAGATTTGAAAATAAGGGACCAGCAGCTACGAAAATAAGGGATCAGCAGCCAAAATAAAGGATTTTCCGAGTGCAGGTATGTTCAACTTCTGAGCCCCTCTGAGCCAACTGCAGAAAGCCCAGCCAGCAGTCAAACGAAGCCTCAAGCGGTGGTTCCCACAGCACAGCAACCCGGCAAAGGGGATGGATGCAGCAAGGAAAACCACCGTCACCTCTCCGCTGGGAAGCGCTGAGCAAAGGCGAGTCCCCAGGCAACGCGGCCGATTTGATCAGCACAAGGCATGCAAGCTCCACCCCCCAGTCGTTCTTAGACTCCTTATTGGGTGAGCAACGCAGCCAAGCAACACAGTTGGAGCCTCCCTGGCCGGCAGGGAGGGAGGGAGAGGAGCTGCTTTCTTTGAAACCCGGGAAATTTAAGGGACATCCATCAATAAGGGACAGCAGTGGGACACAGCGCTAGGATAAGGGACTTTCCCGCCAAATAAGGGACAGTTGACAGCTATGATGGAGGCGGAGAAGGCTCTCCATAGCTACTCGCCATGATGGCTGCACTGTGCCTCCACAGTCAGAGGCAGGAACACTTCCGAATACCAGTTGCTGGAAGCCGCAGGCAGGCAGAGTGTTGTAGGACCAAGAGGCAGTTTTAGGGTAGCACGACCCGTCCAGCCGCCCTGGGCACCAGCACCACAGGGGGCGCTGCAACAATGGTGTCAAATGGAGCACAAGAGACCTGCCCCTCCCCCTTCAAATTTTAGTATTGCACCAGGGGCTTTGGAATTTTTTATTTTTTTTATTTACGTTCTTATGTCACATATGTATACATTATCATATTACATTACAGGGCATATTACAATATAATTCCCAACATGTATACAAAGTTTATGCACCAAATTTATGTACCTAAAGAAAGAAAAAAGAAAAAAGAAAGACATAAAGCCATTTCAAAATAATATTTGTACCAACACTATGGATTTCCTATCAATCTCGTTGCATATTCTTTTTTTACAAATGAATGTACTCTTATTATTGTATATTTCTTTACATTTTATCTAATACATTCCTATATAAATATGTACCCTTAATCTTGTTTCTCGACTCAATTTCTCTCCAACATCATTCGAATGCTAGCATAGATAGCGAACCTTTACTATATTTTTGAACATATGTCTTATATCTATCCCATTTTTACATAAAATTTTGTTTTGAATTGCCTCTCAGGCTATTTGTCAATGGCGCCATTTCAGCAAATTCTTGTAGTTTATTATGCCAGTCCGTTATTGTTGGGGCTTCTTCTTCCTTCCACCCCTTTGAGGGGCCTTTGAAATCTGAAGCACCAAACTCCACCGCAGGTAGGTCTCAGTCAGGTCTGGTTTGAGGTTTTCCGCAACAGGAACCTGGTTAGGCTGGTGTAAGAACAGGACACTGAACCAAGCTGATTTTTTTGGATTTGGATTTGATATCCCACTTTATCACTACCCAAAGGAGTCTCAAAGCAGCTAACATTTTTGCTTTATGTATTAAACTCACACACTTGCCCTTCATCCAAAAATCCCAGGGCTGTTTGCAACATAAAAACACAGTATAAAACCAATAAGTAATCTAATTTTTTAGAAAAATGACTTTTGTTTGCTGTTGCAAGTCTCATGGGCTAATTTATCGAAAGCATGGTCCCTGATATAGCAGACTCTTCTTATGTTTGTATGTTCTTAAGTGAAGTCAGTACCCAGGTACGTTCTGCCCGGACACTGAGGTCCAGCGCCGAGGGCCTTCTGGCGGTTCCCACGCTGCGAGAAGCCAAGTTACAGGGAACCAGGCAGAGGGCCTTCTCGGTAGTGGCACCCGCCCTGTGGAATGCCCTCCCAGCAGATGTCAAAGAGAAAAATAACAACCCAACTTTTAGAAGACATCTGAAGGCAGCCCTGTTTAGGGAAGCTTTTAATGTTTAATAAGTTATTGTATTTTAGTGTTTTGCTGAAAGCCGCCCAGAGTGGCTGGGGAAACCCAGCCAGATGGGTGGGGTATAAATAATAAATTATTATAATATTATTATTATACAATGCTTTCTATCCAAATGTGATTTTGGTTTTAAATGCAGTGTAAGGAGTCTCTATGGGAGTTTATTGTATTTTAAAAATGGGGTATCAGAGTTTTTAGGGGGCTAACCAGGCTGGAAGTGAGAGCTGGTCCATAAAGAAGGCTGACCGCCGAAGAATTGATGCTTTTGAATTATGGTGCTGGAGGAGACTCTTGAGAGTCCCATGGACTGCGAGGAGATCAAACCAATCCATTCTGAAGGAAATCAGCCCTGAGTGCTCACTGGAAGGAAAGACCGTGAAGCTGAGGCTCCAATACTTTGGCCACCTCATGAGAAGAGAAGACTCCCTGGAAAAGACCCTGATGTTGGGAAAGATGGAGGGCACAAGGAGAAGGGGACGACAGAGGACAAGATGGTTGGACAATGTTCTCGAAGCTACCAGCATGAGTTTGACCAAACTGCGGGAGGCAGTGGAAGACAGGAGTGCCTGGCGTGCTCTGGTCCACGGGGTCACAAAGAGTCGGACACGATTAAATGACTAAACAACAACAACAATGGCCCTAACCTAGGCCCATTCCAAGGAAAAACTCTGCGCATGTTTGCGCCCCAAATTGCCAAGAGCTCTCTTTCCCAGCCCCATCCAGTAGTGATCAATCCAGCAGGCGCTCGTGGCCCAATTTGTCTACAGGCTTTGCTAAAACCTAATTCAAAATGCATTATCTTATTTTGCAAAGTGGGGGTTGCGGGGGGGGGGGGAAGCCCTCATGAAAGTCTCTCTTATCCGTGTGTCAGGTTACTGCAAATTCCATTATGCTGAGAAATTGGAGGGGAGGCGGCTGGAGAGCAACAAAAACAAATGCCCCGTGAAAATGCGGATTGCTCTGCTAATAATATTGCGCACTAAAAGGAACCGATCTGTCTGCTGAGGCCCCCTTGACGCCTTTGATCTCCTGTCTGCCCAAAGCGGCGCGAGACAGTCCCCCCCCCATTTTCCCTGTTTGTGATAGGGAGGTGGGGGGGGTGAAGGTAGAGGAGGGTGTGCTTTTATGCCTTTAAAAACTGCATCGGTGGTGGTGGGGGGTTGAGCCTTGGTGCATCTCTGTGCGGAAATAGATCTATGGTGCTCTGCTCATAGAAGTGGCAGGGAAAAGTCAGGAAATAAAGTGTATCTATGCTGCAAGGCAGCATCAGGAGAGGAAAGTGAGGGTCCTGTTGATGGGCATTGCCACTCAAATGGTGTTTGTGCACTGTGTCATGTGAGCAATGATGTGAGGCGGGGCTTACCCGGGCCTCTACAATACAGTCATACCTCGGGTTACAGACGCTTCAGGTTGCGTTTTTTCGGGTTACGGACCGCCGAAACCTGGAAGTACCGGAACGGGTTACTTCCGGGTTTCGGCAGTCACGCATGTGCAGAAGCGCTAAATCGCACTTTGCGCATGCGCAGAAGCGCTGAATCGCAACCTGTGTGTGTGCAGATGCACCGCTGTGGTTGCGAACGTGCATCCCGCACGGATCACGTTCGCAACCCGAGCGTCCACTGTATTTCATTCAAGTTGACACCCCTGGTTAAAACACTATGATCCCACTTTAGAGAGCCAAAGAAATCTGGGAGCTGTCGCATGTTAAGGGTGCTGAGCATCGTTAGGAAAACCCCCATTCCCCTGAAAGAGCTACGTTTTCCTTCCTGTTCACAGCAGCTAGACTAGTTTTTGCCCAACAATGGAAGGAAACTTCTAATACACCAATACAGTCGTACCTTGGTTCTCAAATGGAATCCATTCCGGAAGTCCGTTCTACTTCCAAAAACGTTCAAAAACCAAGGCATGGCTTCTGATTGGCTGCAGGAGCTTCCTGCAGCCAATCGGAAGCCACGGAAGCCACGTCGGACGTTCGGGTTCCAACAAACACTCGCAAAGCGGAACACTCACTTCCGGGTTTGCAGCATTTGGGAGCCAAAGCGTTCGAGTCGCAAGGCGTTCGAGAACCAAGGTACGACTGTAGAGGCTTGCGTTAATAACATCTGGAGCATTGCTCTATCAGAACACCTCACATACCATCGGCAACTAACCAAAGGCATCTCCAAAAAAGATGCCTTTGACACGATCTGGTCTCCCTTTTTCTCTTTTATTGAAGAAGAACAGGCTATTTTAATGCCACCATCATCACAGATATGTCTGTAGAGGGAATATATTGATTGAAAATGTATTGTATTGTAACTTTTGAATAAATGTTTTTTTTCAAAATACAGAAGAGCTACTTTCCCCTGAGTTTTCCCGGGAAGAGCGATGGATTCTTAAGCCGCTCTGAGATGTCTGGGCGATGTCAGCTGGTTCCAGGAATCTTCCCCTTTGTGAGGTTTTTGTGGGTCCTCTGAGATCGAGTCTGGACCCTGAGAGAGACCCAGGCTGGATGGGTGGAGTCCTGGATGAGAGCCAGGAAGCTAAGAGAGGAGGAGTGTTGGAAGGAAAATGAATCAATACTGATTTATAATGATTAGTAACTTAGAATTAAAGTGCATTTTTGTAATATTTGTTGTTGTTTAAGTGGTCTGTTGTTGCTTTAGTTTTCTGTGCACTGCTTAGAGATTTGTTTTACCTATTAAGCCATATAGAAATAGTGCAAATAAATTGTGTGTTTGTGTGTTGTCTGTATTCTGTTAATGTCCTGGTGTATTTATGTTTAGACCAGCATAGCTTAGTAGGTTATAGTGTGGTGCTGATAATGCCAAGGTTGCAGGTTCGAATCCCCGGGACAGCTGCATATTCCTGCATTGCAGGGGGTTGGAGTAGATGATCCTCAGGGTCCCTTCCAACTCTATAATTCTATGTTTTTAAATGTATTGTAAGTCACTTGGAGACCTTTAAGTAATAGGCACCTTATCTTAATAGGTCTAATTAATAGTAATTATTATCATTACCATCGTAATATAACATACTCAGAATTCTTGAAATGTGCAATATAAATGCTATTCTTGTTGTTTTTATTTCAGCCTGAACCAATGACTGACTTAAATGGACTTGAAATCCCATTCAAGATCTAGGGTTACAGCCAAATGCTAATCATGCTCAAAATAGACCCAATGAAATCAATGAACTTGCCCAGTGTCAGTCATACTGAGAGCATTGCCCCTGAGCCTCTTGGGCTTGCCGATTGGAAGGTCGGTGGTTTGAATCCCCACAACGGGGTGAGCTCCCATTGCTCTATCCCAGCTCCTGCCCAATTAGCAGTTCGAAAGCACACCAGTGCGAGTAGATAAATAGGTACCACTGCAGCAGGAAGGTAAACGGCGTTTCCATGCACTCTGGTTTCCATCATGGTCCTCCGTGCGCCAGTAGCAGTTTAGTCATGCTGGCCACATGACCTGGAAAACTGTCTGTGGACAAATGCCGATTCCCTTGGCCTGAAAGTGAGATGAGCGTCGCAACCCCATAGTCGTCTTTGACTGGACTTAACCGTCCAGGGGTCCTTTAGGTAAAGTTAAAGGGACCCCTGACCATTAGGTCCAGTCGTGACCGACTCTGGGGTTGCGGCGCTCATCTCGCTTTATTGGCTGAGGGAGCCGGCATACAGCTTCCGGGTCATGTGGCCAGCATGACTAAGCCGCTTCTGGCGAACCAGAGCAGCGCATGGAAACACCGTTTACCTTCCCGTTGGAGTGGTACCTATTTATCTACTTGCACTTTGATGTGCTTTTGAACTGCTAGGTTGGCAGGAGCAGGGACCGAGCAACGGGAGCTCACCCTGTCGCTGGGATTCGAACCGCCGACCTTCTGATCAGCGAGTCCTAGGCTCTGTGGTTTAAGCCACAGCGCCACCCGCGTCCCTTCCAGGGGTCCTTTAACTGTTACCTAAATCTTAAAGGATGGATAGAAGAAGGGTCAAGGCAATGAATGCTTTTCTTTTCTCTCCCTTCATTTCCTTTGCTAACAGTTTCAGAGTTTAAACCGAGCAAGGGTGGGTCAGCCTGCTTTCATCCACAGATTTCTTTCTCCTGCAAAACAACAACAGCAAAAAACAAAAACGGTATAGTGACACACCTGGATCTTGTGATTTGTTTAATCCATTCTCTCCAGAGCCAGCCGCTCCCAGGGATGCCTGATTGAATGCTCTTTGAGATTTGCATCTGAGGCCTTGTTGACTTAACGCTCTTTGCATCCTGCGAGAAAACAAATATATCCCCACCCCCCACCCCACCACAGTCCCGGCCATGTTGCGCACTCTTGTCATTGAGCTGTGATGAGAAGCAAACCAGCATGCCACATTTTTTCCCCCTTTTTAAAAAATATATTTTTAAGTGCTTCCAGACAGGCCCCTCCATTTGTTCAATGAAGCTGGCCTGTTGGGGAAGGGGAGGGAGATAACCTTAATTCAGACTTGGTGAGTCAGGGAGAGTTGCAGAGAGAGAGAGAGAGAGAGAGAGAGAGAGAGAGAGGACCTTTCACCCCCCATTAGTGGTGCCATCAACGCTCCAGCACAACAGAGAGCGAGGTCACATTACATATGGCGCACAGTCTGTTCAGCCCTCAGAATGCCAGCTTTGAAATTTTAGAGAGGCGAAAGGTCATCTTTAATAAGCGAGCATTGAGGAAAGGGGGAGGTTATCAGTTCTTTCCGAGCAAACATGGTGGGTGTCCCATCTGCCGCCGTCACCACCAACATTGCTTGGGTCTCCTGACTGCAGGCAGGGAAGAAACTAGGCTTTATTTCACCCGGGTCAAAGACCTAGCTTGGCAGCCCTCCCCACACGCATGTTCATATACAGTGGCCAGCCCCCACATTTATTTATTTTTCGCATTAGCAACTAATTCAACAAAGGAGGAGGCCTCCAGATTTTCAGTATCATAACTTTGTGGAGTGAAGGGGGCTGGGAATTCCAGTGCGCCTGGGAACGTTAGTTTGGCGCACTCAAGCACTACGTTTCCCTAGCGCCAACAAGTCTGCTTTTGAAAAAGACCGGATTTTCTTTTTTCTTTTTTCAATTTGAAAATGACAAGAAAACGCGTTGCTAAGTGTGGGATGAGGGCTGGAAAAATGCCTCTATAACAGGTTCAAGAAAGTTAAGTTCATTGCTGTCTCAAAGAAATTGGCCTGTAATCTTCACGCAGCTAAGGGTGATACTGATATTTCCGGTTTTACGTATTTGGAGGTTAGTTATTAACTACGGCAATGCAGTCACACTGGTGGCAGAGCCCTTTGAAATATTATTTTATTTGTGGGCATCTGTAAACAGGCAAGACCAGTCCTATTTTTCTAGGAAAAGAGGTGCCTGCCCTGAGGTCTGGTAAGCTCTGACTGGAAAAAAAACCTTTCCCTTTCCCCCCCTTTTCCATTCAATGTTGTGTTTCTGCACCTCATTTATAACTTTATAACTATATTGACTTCATTTTCTCCTGATTTTTTAAATAGCTTTTTCATTTTATCAACCCAAACTCCTTGTACTGAAGTCATACTATGTTTTTGGTTGTTGTCAATGTCTGTCCTCCTTTTTTTCATATGTACTGTCTGTTTTATCGTTTAATAAAATAATAATACATTTTTTTTAAAAAAAGCAAAGCAAAGTGAGGGATGCACAGATGATTAAAAGTGCAAACAGTACTCCTCAGGCAAATCAGGATGAATGTTTGTTGTCATGTAAACAAATCAGAACAAAATGCTCAGCAAAGACCGTGGACCGTCTAAGCTTCGCAAAGGCAAATCTGGATGAGTGCTGAATAAATTGGACACCTGGAGGACCCCAAAGAGACTTGTGGCCCTTTTAAATCATAGAATCATAGAGTTGGAAGGGACCCTGAGGATCATCTAGTCCAACCCCCCGGAAATGTTTATTGCAGCATCTTGGGTTGCCATATCATAGCAAAAAAAGAGGACACATTTGCCGACTTCTACTTTTAACCATGGATTGCCATGACGACTCTGCCCATGAAAAAGAGGACATTTCCTGGAAAAAGAGGCCTTGTAGCCAAAGTTGTCTGTTTTGTGTGGTGGCTCCCAACCGATGTCAAAATGAACCCAAACATCCTTTTGCCACAGCCCGCTTAATCAAAAGCACGTAAGGTTTTTAATTTAATTTGGTTTTATTTTTACAGGGAGGAAGGCTTGTCTTCTAGGGCTGCATCTACACAGCTATAAAAAAAACGCTCTGAAAATGCTCTGGCGGGGGTGAGAACAGAACGTTTTAAAGCTCACAATGGAAAATTTCATGGAGTTCTGATTTCAGCTCTACAGCGCCATCTGGTGTCACACTGTTATAACACATTTATAATGTTTTTAAAATATTTTTTTTACTAGTGTAGCCAAGTCCTAGGATACAGGTTTTAAGCTACAGGAACAAACCCATACAATTATTCTGCAGCTCATTTCTACGGGGGCCACAGGTGTTTGTTTGTTTTTTAATTATTGCTTATTTATCACTGCATTTATATTGCACCTTTCATCCAAGGAATTCAAGGTGTCCTGCCTGTTTCTCCCCTCCCTCCCCAACTCATTTTATCCTCACAGCAACCCTGAGAGGTAGGTTAGGCTAAGAGACAATGAGCAGCGCAAAGTCAACCCTAGTCAGCCAGGCCCTAGCTCAGCGCTCTAACCACTGTACCACACTACTTCCAGCAAAATAAACAAATAGACCAGGCATAGGCAAACTCGGCCCTCCAGATGTTTTGGGACTACAACTCCCATCACCCCTGACCACTGGTCCTGTTAGCTAGGGATGATGGGAGTTGTAGTCCCAAAACATCTGGAAGGCCGAGTTTGCCTATGCCTGAAATAGACACATTGGCAACTTAAGCTTCCGGGCCAGGAATGCTCCCTGCTTGCTGCCCTTTGGCAGGTCAGGGGGAGCCTTTACAAAATGGAAGGATAGGTGTCTGCAAGGGGTAGCAATCTCCTGCCTAAGGATATGGGTGCTAATGGCAGTCCTGAAGAGCATAGGAATCAGATCCTGGGTCCATCCAGCTCACCTTTGTCTACTGTGACTGCCACCAGATTCCCAGGGTTTCTGGCAAGAGATATTTCCCAGCTCTGTCTGGAAATCTTGGAAATTGAACCTGAGACTTGTGTGCAAAGCAGCCGCTCCACATAGGAACACAGGAAGCTGCCCTCTTGAGTCAGGCCATTGGTCCATCTCACTCAGTATTGTATGGAGAGCCAGTGTGGTGTAGTGGTTAAGAGCAGTGGACTCGTGATCTGGTGAACCAGGTTCGCTTCCCCACTCCTCCACATGCAGCTGCTGGGTGACCTTGGGCCAGTCACACTTCTCTGAAGTCTCTCAGCCCCACTCACCTCACAGAGTGTTTGTTGTGGGGGAGGAAGGGAAAGGAGAATGTTAGCCGCTCTGAGACTCCTTTGGGCAGTGATAAAACAGGATATCAAATCCAAACTCTTCTACACTGACCGGCAGCAGCTGTCCAAGGTTTCAGATGCTGGGGATTGAACTTGCAAACTTCTGCACGCCAGGCAGATGTTACGTCCTGAGCTACGGCCCTTCCTGTAGGATAAAGGAGGGAGCATGGATGTGGTCCTGATGAAAGTGGAGAAAAGGCAAGGGAAGACGGATGGCGGCAACAACAACAACCCCAGACCCAGAGCTCAGCCAGAGCTGTTCTGGTGCCTCCGTGCCACAACTCAGCCACCCTAGTGTTAGAGCTCCCCCTGTTGCATGGAAAGTTATTTATGTTCATCAAGAGGAATGCCCAGTTTGGGATTCCAAGTACAATGCAATTCTCCACGAATTTCATGTTGCAGGCTGGCTGCCAGCGTAGTTCCTGTCCGTCCCTCCTCCCCCCGTCTCTTATATCCACAAGACTTTTCTATTCCGCATTCCTCTGAGCTGGAAACCTCCCTGGGTGGAGCAGTGGGACTGCTGTCTGTTAGGCTTGTATGACAGCCAAACGATTTTCTGCCGTTCTTCTCGTCCGCTGTGTATTGCATTTGGCAAGGTGGCTCTTCTGAGTCGTTCCTCCCCATTCCCTCCGGGGCATTGTGATATTTCACATCTGGTTTTAACTGCAGGATAGCGGGCTTTCAAACTCTCATGTCTTCTGGGAACCCTGTGTGCACACCCCACAGAACTACTAAGTCTTGCAGAAGAGTCCGGGGCATTTTGTAGGATATGCAGCCTGATCACCCCACCCAGAAGGTCAGCCGGGCCTACGGTGGAACAGTGGAAGCTGGTGCCCATTGGGAATTGATAGGGTGGAAGGCATGGAGCCTGACAGTAGGGGGCGCCAGAGCCAGTGGCAGGAAGAACCAGTAATAGGTGCAGTCAATTTACTCTGGTTTTGTCCCCCTACTCCTCCTTTGTGTTGAATTCTGCAAGAGCAACAGTGAGACTAAGGAGTAGGAGGCAGCTGGCAGGCATAAGACAATAAGAACATAAGAAGAGTCCGCAGGATCAGGCCAGGGGCTCATCTAGTCCAGCATTCTGTTCTCATAGTGGCCAACCAGATGCCTCTTCTGGGAAAGAATAGAATTTTATTATTACGGTCACAGACCAGTTCCGGGTCACTTACAATATCAGGAAAATCATGAAACACAACAGGGAATTGCAATTAGGTATAACAGAGACAATTCAGATATAGCGGCAGTTAAAAAAAAAAATCTTGATCACTAAAATATAACCTAAAATTATCATTTAAAACCTTAATCATTTTGGTAGTACAGCTTGTTCCCTAAGTTTTATGGCAGTCGCACAGAATTTGGCCACCCTTAGCGTGATCTCCAGATCCTTGTCCTCTACCAGGAGTTTTAGACACTGAAGTTCGGATCCATTTGGAGATTTTTGTATAAAAGGAGTGATAAATACCGAGCGTATATCCCCGTAGAAACGTCTTCTGGGAAACCTGCAAGCAGAATTCTTGCACAAGAGCCACTCTTCCCTCCTGTGGCCTCCAGCAACTGGCATTCAGAAGAGTTGCTGACTCCAACTGTTTACCTCCAACAATTCTCCCTATTTTCCAGGGACAGTCCTGCATTTACCAAAGCAATCCCAGTTTCTGATTTGATCCTGGAACGTCCCACTTTTCCTCAGGACGTCCCTATTTTCACTGGAGAAACATTGGAGGGCATGGAGTCATTGGACCCCTGAGCCAAGGAGATAAGTAACTATGCAACCTTTAGAAGACATCTTGAAGGTAACCCTGAATAGGGAAGTTTTTTAACGTTCAGTTATGTTTTTATATATTTTGGAAGCCACCCAGAATGGCTGGGTCAACCCAGATGACGGGCGGGGTATAAAAAATAAAATTATCATGATGTTGATGATGGAATAGGTAAAGTAAAGTGGCCCCTGACCATTAGGTCCAGTCGTGACTGACTCTGGGGTTGCGGCGCTCATCTCGCTTTACTGGCCGAGGGAGCCGGCGTACAGCTTCCGGGTCATGTGGCCAGCATGACTAAGCCGCTTCTGGCGAACCAGAGCAGCGCACGGAAATGCCGTTTACCTTCCCGCCGGAGTGGTACCTATTTATCTACTTGCACTTTGATGTGCTTTCGAACTGCTAGGTTGGCAGGAGCAGGGACCGAGCAACAGGAGCTCACCTCGTCGCGGGGATTCGAACTGCCAACCTTCTGATCGGCAAGTCCTAGGCTCTGTGGTTTAACCCACTGCTCCACCCGCTTCCCGATGATGGAATAGGATGTCCCTATTTCCATCGGATAAATGTTGGAGGGTATGACGTAGCCATCATGCCTGGTAGCCGCCAATAGCCCTGTCATCCATGAATTTATCCTGCATTTTTATCTTGTTTATCCTGCATTTTTATCTCCCAAACCTTCCTGAGATCCTCGGGTGAAGGGTGGTCTATAAATTTCAATTAAAAAATCTGTCCAATCCTCTTTTAAAGCCATCCAAGTTGGTGGCCGTTTCATAGTTTAAGTATGCGCTGCAAGAAGACATAGTTTTCTTTATCCATCCCCTGGTCTGGTCATGTAAGAAGGCAGGTTAGGTCAAGATGGGCTGCCCCCTTCATCCTAAACAGGGTTGCCATATTGCAAGAGGTAAAAATCTGGAGACAAAAAGTTGCTGAGCTTTTTTAGGGCTCAACATGGCCGCCCATGCCATACCCGACCGCGGACCATTTCTTTTTTAACCCCAAATCCAGGACATTTGCTTTGAAATGTAAAATTCCCCCCCCCCCCAGATGGGCAAAAGAGGACATGTCTGGGAATCACCAGACATATGGCAACCCTACAACAGACCAGCCTTCACTGATGTGTCTTGTCGTTGCCCCCAGTGAATGGCGAACCAAACCACACATTCAAGTGGAATTTGCAGTGAAACCGCATTCTTTTTCGCAAGAGCGGTTGCGGGGCAGGGGAGGGGGAAAAAATTGGTTCAGTGGTGTGGTGTTGCAGGTGTGGGGTTTTATTCTTGCCCCATGAGTTGTGGCCCTGATCCAGCTTTACCTCCCTCAACCGCCGAACTGCTATTAGCCATAGAGGACGAAAGTTGCAGGCTTAAACATTTAAGCTGTTTGGTTCTCCCTTCTTTTGTGACTCACAACAGCTCGGGATGGGGGGCTGATCTGGAGCACAGTTGTAGTCTGGCAGGGAAAAGGTAGACCCCCTCCTTCCCTTGTGCCGTGGCCCTGATCCAAATTGTGACAGGGAGCGGGGTGGACAGATGCTTTTACGAAAGAAAATTACATCAGGAGCGCTCAATGTGGCACTCCGACGTGGAATTTGGCCCTGCGACAGAGGACATCAGACACACCCCAGTTCTCTGTGACTTTGCCTTTCAGCAGCAAAACAAAACAAAGCTCTTGCGTGCTGTTGCTGCTCGTTTTGAGGACTCTCCCTGATATTGCCAAGGGAACTCTAGGGACACAGCTCTAGGAAAGGCCAAAGCTCAGTGGAAGAGGACCTGTTTCTCTTGCAGAAGATCCCAGCATTTCTAGGTAGGGCTGGGAGTCATAGAATTATGGAATTGGAAGGGACCACAAAGCTCATCCAGTCCAACCCCCTGCAATGCAGGAATCTGTTGCCCAATGTGGTGCTCGAACCCACAACCCTGAGATTGAGAGTTTCCTGCTGTGCCGACTGAGCTGTTCCCTGTCTGTATGGTGTGTGTTTATGTGTGTATAATTCTCTGGATTTTGTGTGACTGGAATGTAGTTGACTGCACAAAAGCCAGCCAGCCTCATTAGCTTCAGCAGGACGTATCCAGAGAAGGGCGCTTAGGATCACAGACTTATTCGGAGATAGGTGGAGTGGAACCTTTTTCAAACTGAGGGCCAAGTTCCATCCTGGGCGAGCTTCCAGGGGCCACATGCTGGTGATGGGCGGGGGGCAGAGGCAAAAGTTGGAGGAGTTACAAAATGCAGATTTTACCTTTTGTACTGTAGCTTCGTTCCTGCAAACACTTTGCTCCTCCATCCAGGTGAGCCAGAAGCATTATGAAGAGTTGAGAGAGAGGCGGATTCGTGGCAGCGCGACTGGGTGCCAAGCCGAGCAGGGTGCCTCAGGGTGCTGCAACTATGCCATAGCGCACGTGCAGAATGGAAGGCGAGGGGAGGCACTGAATTTTGGCCTCGCCCAAGGCACCGCTGAATTTGAAAGACCACCCCGGTTGAAAGAAACAATAAAGCTTCTCCACGTGTTTCTCTGTAGAACAGGGAGTTTAGTGAGCTGTTCGATTGAGTTAATACAGGAGAAAAACTTACGCCATGTTGAATAAAGATGATCTGGGGCTTTTGGGGTGTGTGTGAGAGTGTTTATAGAGCGGAAAAATGTTATACAACTAAGTATACAGTGGACGCTCGGGTTGCGAACATGATCCGTGTGGGATGCACATTCGCAACCTGCAGCATTCGCAACCCGCAGTGGTGAGTCTGCGCACACAAGGGTTGCGATTCAGCGCTTCTGCGCATGTGTGACCGCCAAAACCCAGAAGTAACCCGTTCCGGTACTTCCGGGTTTCGGCGGTCTGTAACCTGAAAAAACACAACCTGAAGTGTCTGTAACCCGAGGTATGACTGTACAGTGGTACCTCAGGTTAAGTACTTAATCATTCCAGAGGTCCGTTCTTAACCTGAAACTGTTCTTAACCTGAAGCACCACTTTAGCTAATGGGGCCTCCCACTGCCGCCACGCCGCTGGAGCACAATTTCTGTTCTCATCCTGAAGCAAAGTTCTTAACCCGAGGTACTATTTCTGGGTTAGCGGCGTCTGTAACCTGAAGCGTATGTCACCGGAAGCATATGTAACCCAAGGTACCACTGTACCAAGTTTTCTCATGTCATTTGTATATCACAAAAATAGCATAATAAATGTGGGAAAGTCTCTACAACATATGTTTCATTATTAGTGGTAAATGTATAAATTATTGGTTCATGAATTGGTTTAAACAATTAGGAAGAAGAAGAGAAAAAAAGAAGAAGAAAAAGGGGGAGAGGTGAGTGGGGTGGGGTCGGGTGGTTATGCTTCTCTTATTCTACTTAGCGTGTGTGAAGGGTTGTGCCAGCGTCGCTTGTGCAGGTTCTCTTTCCTATTCGCTTGTACTCCTTTGGTGGTGAGAGAGGTTGAGGTTGGCCTAGGGTGTGGTTGTTTGTGAGTGGCTGCGTTGAACTTGGTTTTCATGTGTTAGTGCGGTGGGTGGGTGTTTTTGTATCAGGTTAGCCAGATTGATTCGCATGCTGTTGGCAGATTTTTGTCATTGTCTTGTTGGGCTGTGTATGTGATAAAGGGGAGCCATACCAGGGTGAAGGCATATTCTTCCATTTGTCCCTGTGTCAGTTTCAGTTTATTGGTTAGTTGTTTCTAGTCAGGCTGTTTCCCATACTATTTGCTATCCTTGGTCCATGCTTACTCCTGACTGGTCTCTCCAGTGTCTGGCTATGATGCTTTTGGCTGCTGAGAGTAAGCGGATTATGAGCTCTTTGTGATGTGAGTGGGCATTATTATCTTTGAAGATGTTTAGTAGGGCCAGTTCTGGGGTGACTTCGAAAACCTCCTTCTAACAACAAAGGGACAATGGACAGCAATTATACAAGAAATATGCAAAATAACTAAACAACAGACTTTTAAGGACTCTCTGTTGTTGTTTTCTGTTGTTGTTTTTTTTAAGCTCCACCTAGGCTTTAATTTAATTTTATTTATTTCACTCATCATATTATACATAATAAAAACATAGATGTTTTAAAACAAAATCAGAAGCTTTACAGAAGATAGCGATTGCTCCCTTTTAATTTATTTACAGAAATCTGAAGCTTTACAGAAGAAAGCAATTGCTTCCTTTTAATTTCCTTGCCAAAAAAAGAGTGAAAAAATATGAGGACAAGATATGCACTGAGGTGTCAACACATTGCAGCTCCAAGGCTCCTATTTAAGTTAACATTATCCAACCTGTTTAACAAATTGCAGCAGCACGAAAATAACACTGAACTGAACCAGAAAAAATTACACAATTAACTGAAAGTTTCTCAATGGCAATGGGGCCTGACAGACCTCACCTGGGAAGGCATTCCTTAGGGTAGGAGCCTGTTGTCTTTGTCCATGGAGTTTTCTTGGCAGGGATACTGGAGTGGCTTGCCGGTTCCTGCTCCAGGTGGATCACGTTTGGTCAAAGCTCTCCACTATGACCTGTCCATCTTGGGTGGCCCTGCACGGCATAGCTCATAGCTTCTCTGAGTTATTCAAGCCCCTTCGCCACGGCAAGGCAGCATCTTAAAAAGCAGAGACATCACCTTGCCAACAAAGGTCTGTATAGTTAAAGCTATGGTTTTCCCAGTAGTGATGTATGGAAGTGAAAGCTGGACCATAAAGAAGGCTGATCGCCGAAGAATGGAAGCTTTTGTATTATGGTGCTGGAGGAGACTCTTGAGAGTCCCATGGACTGCAAGAAGATCAAACCTATCCATTCGAGAAGAGGTAGACTCCACCGTGGGAGCAGGGCCGGGGCGGGAGAGTGCTAGAGTCCTGTCTAGTCAAGTTGTGTGGGATCAATTCCAATCTGTTACCCCCGAGGATGTGGACAGGCTACTTGGACGAGTGAAACCAACCACTTGCCTCCTTGATCCTTGCCCATCCTGGCTTATAAAAGCTAGCCGGGAAGGACTGGGCGATGGGCTTCGTGGGGTGGTGAATGCTTCCCTCCGTGAGGGAGCCTTCCCAGACCCGCTGAAAGAGGCGGTTATTAAACCGCTTCTTAAAAACCATCTTTAGATGCGGCCACAATAGCCAACTATCGCCCAGTCTCAAATCTTCCATTCTTGGGCAAGGTGATTGAGCGAGTGGTTGCTGAACAACTCCAGGCACGCCTGGAAGAAGCGGACCATTTGGATCCCTTCCAGTCGGGATTCAGGCCTCATCATGGGACTGAAACTGCCTTGGTCGCACTGGTTGATGATCTCCGGCGGGCTAGGGACAAAGGTGAGAGCTGTTTCCTAGTTCTGCTGGATCTCTCAGCGGCGTTTGATACCATCGACCATAACATCCTTCTGGACCGTCTTGAGGGGCTGGGAGCTGGGGGCACTGTTATACAGTGGTTCCGCTCCTTCCTCCTGGGCCGTGTTCAGAAAGTGGTGGTGGGGGATGAGTGTTCAGACCCCTGGGCCCTCACTTGTGGGGTGCCTCAGGGTTCTGTCCTCTCCCCATGCTTTTCAACATCTACATGAAGCCGCTGGGAGAGATCATCAGGGGATTTGGGCTGGGTGTTCATCAGTATGCAGATGATACCCAGCTCTATCTCTCTTTCAAATCAGAACCAGTGAAGGCAGTGAAGGTCCTGTGTGAGTGCCTGGAGGCGGTTGGAGGTTGGATGGCGGCTAACAGATTGAGGTTGAATCCTGACAAGACAGAAGTACTGTTTTTGGGGGACAGGAGGCGGGCAGGTGTGGAGGATTCCCTGGTCCTGAATGGGGTAACTGTGCCCCTGAAGGACCAGGTGCGCAGCCTGGGAGTCATTTTGGACTCACAGCTGTCCATGGAGGCACAGGTCAAATCTGTGTCCAGGGCAGCTGTTTACCAGCTCCATCTGGTACGCAGGCTGAGACCCTATCTGCCTGCGGACTGCCTCGCCAGAGTGGTGCATGCTCTGGTTATCTCCCGCTTGGATTACTGCAATGCGCTCTACGTGGGGCTACCTTTGAAGGTGACCCGGAAACTACAACTAATCCAGAACGCGGCAGCTAGACTGGTGACTGGGAGCGGCCGCAGAGACCACATAACACCGGTCTTGAAAGACCTACATTGGCTCCCAGTACGTTTCCGAGCACAATTCAAAGTGTTGGTGCTGACCTTTAAAGCCCTAAACGGCCTTGGTCCAGTATATCTGAAGGAGCGTCTCCACCCCCATCGTTCTACCCGGACACTGAGGTCCAGCACTGAGGGCCTTCTGGCGGTTTCCTCACTGCGAGAAGCCAAGTTACAGGGAACCAGGCAGAGGGCCTTCTCGGTAGTGGCGCCTTCCCTGTGGAACACCCTCCCACCAGATGTCAAAGAGAACAACAACTACCAGGCTTTTAGAAGACATCTGAAGGCAGCCCTGTTTCGGGAAGCTTTTAATGTTTGATGTATTATAGTATATTAATATTCTTTTGGAAGCCGCCCAGAGTGGCCGGGGAAGCCCAGCCAGATGGGCGGGGTATAAATAATAAATTATTATTATTATTATTATTCTGAAGGAAATCAGCCCTGAGTGCTCACTGGAAGGACAGATCGTGAAGCTGAGGGCTCCAAGACTTTGGCCACCTCATGAGAAGAGAAGACTCCCTGGAAAAGACCCTGATGTTGGGAAACATGGAGGGCACAAGGAGAAGGGGACAGCAGAGTATGAGATGGTTGGACAGTGTTCTCGAAGCTACCAAATAGTGGTAGGCAGTGGAAGACAGGAGTGCCTGGCGTGCTCTGGTCCATGGGGTCACGAAGAGTCAGACACCACTAAACGACTAAACAACAACAACAAAGGGTAGGAGCTGCAGCAGAAAAAGCTCTGCCCATAGTTGACACCACCCTTGCCTGCTGAGGGATTTGGAGCCGGGCCTCAGATGTCAATCAGAGGGTGCAAGGAAAAGGCAGCTCCCAAGGTACCCAGATCTCCAGCCTTCTGCAA